ACTTTTAAAGTGAGGGGGTGGCGGAGTTCCATTTCTGATTCTTCCTCAGGCCCACATTGGCCAATACTGGAAACAGTTTCGAAGTTGTGGGTTTGTGTTTGGGGCTTACCCCCAACCTCTTCAGGAGCTGCCATGGGTCCTTCATGCCTTTCTCAGCATCTCTTTTCTCTGCTGCTTAGGGTCCCTCTGGTCTGGAGGGAGGGGACTGTGGAAGCCCATCCACATCTAAGCATTAGTGACTCGTGCTACCCCTTCAGGCTTATTTAAAAGAGCTTTAAAAATGGGTGCCTAAGAGAACAATATCTGACCCAAAAGAATGACTCCCTGCTCAGGAAAGATAATTTTCGATGGAGTCGGGGTGGGGCCCAGCACTGCCTCTGGAATCACTCTGCCTAAGAAGACTGCTGCTATTACTCTTGAAGAATAGACTCCTTCCCTAAGTACTCAGCATACACATGAGAGGGAAACCGCCTGCTGGTATGATAGTAAGGTGTGGTCAGATCCAGACTTGAGTATGTGTGCGTCCTCTCTACCAGTCCCCTCCCCGTCTCTGTGTCTTCCTCTGTTTCGGGTATACTGTGCTCTTGTTCTTCTGGCCTCAGAAGGAGTGAGCCCGTATCTGCCCCTTGGATCCAGTTTCCGCCTTGCACCTCCTCTCTGCTCCTGCAGACTGTCCTGCCCTCTGGCTTCCAGTTGGGTTCAGCTATTGGGGAGAACAGGCAGGAGATGAGGGAGGAAGCTGAGAGAGAGGTTGGGTGTGATACCCTGCCCCCTCACCGCAGGTTGGTTGTGACCCTCTGCCAGAAGCTGCATCATCTCTCCAGACAGCCACCCTCTCCACGCCAGGCGACAGCTCCCTTTCTGGGCCTCTGGGCTATGCCAACACCTGATGCCAGTGCCAGGTCCCTGCACCACCACCCTCTGCGGGACTCTTTACACCTTTGCTCCGCTTTGTAAACTGTACCTTTTTGAAACTTTTCTCCGTTCCCCATGGGGCATCCTGTCTGCCTAGGACCCTGACAGGCAGGAGGGTCACCAGCTCAGAAGGTTGAAGGTGTAAAGCGTGCCTTACCCCCCAGTGCCTCCCATCTCCTGGCTGAGGCTTCCTGAGGGGAGGCTCCATCTCTGGCTGGAATGCGGGATTCTGGAAGACTGGCTTGATCTTCCCAGGTGAAGCCCTGGGCTTTGCACTGCCTTCCAGGTGGCCCCTCTGTACCGTGCGCGGCAGGAAAACCTGTTTGTGTTGGGAAGCCCACATTCTGGGCACATGAATTTGGTGCCCAGATGGTGCTTGTGTTTACAAAAGCCCAGCACACTGACAGGACCCGCAGACACATGGGTAAATATTTTGCCTCTCTTCTTAGGCAATATTTGAGTTTTTCGAACCTAATTGCTGTCGAGGCAGGATGCTCGCGTCCCTGAGGCAAAGATATAGCGAGGCCTCAAACGGGGCCACCTCTGTGGCAGAGGCCCCGCCGGGCTCCCTGGCCGGCCACCTGAGTGTCTATCGCCAACTTCTTGCTCCTGTCGTGTGCGCTGGGGGTGATTGGGGCTAAGGGAGGTGACCGCAGCCCACCTGGAACCTGTGGTTATTTGTTGAGTTGCTTTGACACTGAGACAACTTGAGTTTAGCCCCAAATCAGGTACATTTCTGAGACATTAGCAGCAGGCACCAATCTGGCTATAAACAGTGGGACTTTGCGAGTATTTTGTTTGATTTGAAGTTGTTGAGTGTAGGGCAGCTGCTAGCTTCTTAGACACCCTTGTGCAGGTTAGACTGAGGCAGTCCCTCTGGCAGGGGCAGTGCTCCCCTACCTCAGCAGAGGGCATGTGTGGTGAGCAGGGCAGCGGTTGGATTTCAGCATCCAGGTATCCTCAGAGGTGTTCTGGTCAGGGCATAACGTGCTCAGCGGTACCTGTCCAAGATAGCCCTCAGCCAAGGTGATCGCTGCTGGTATTCTTGTTAAAATCCTCTATCCACTTTTTATCTCTCCTCTCTTTTCTTCCTTTAAAAAAAAAAAAAAACAACACCAAACAACACTGTCCTATTTGCCCTTTGGATTATATTTCCAGGTGCAGTGAGAGGCCCCTGTGTATAGTTGCTGTTAATTCCACGTCACTGTGACTGATCAGCCTCTCCGAACCCTGTCTGCACTGGGAAGGAGTGTTGCCGTTGACACAGAGTTCTGCAGCAATCACTTCCTTTCATTCATTACCCTCGAATTTGCCTCAATTATTTCAATCCCCAATGTGTAATAGAAGCTGTTGGATCCCTTGCCCACCGTGGTCTTTTAAAGGGCACCTCCTATTAGTCATTCCTTTCTTCAAAGCACATGTTATTGGTGCTCACCCTGAGCTGGGAATGAGGGAGGTAAAGATGAATGGATAAGACAAGTCCCTGCCCTTGAGAAACTCATAATCTAGTGGGGGAGTGAGGCGTGTAAACAGATAAATCACAGCCCATGGGTGTGTGTGCTGGGTAGGACAGGAGCCCGAGGAGGAGGAGAAGGTAGGCCATTGATGCCTACCGTTGGGCGCTGTGGGCACAAGGAAGGCTTTGCTGAGAAGCTGCCATGCAGGCCTCCTCTGAGGACAAGCAGTCGTGTATGTGTGAACAAAGGCAGAGAGGAGAATAGGTGCAGTGTCCTGAACAGGTAGGGCTCAGGCGGGGCAAGGTGGGAAGGGCCACCTGGTTGGAGCCTGGATGTGTGATGACTGGGCCGAAAGGGACCTGAAGTGGGGGCTGGAGCTTTCTGAGGAGTGTGGGTATCACGGGATAACAAGAGCACGTTTTCCTTTCTGGAAGACACTCCAAGCAGCAAGTGAGGAGTGGCCAGGTGGGGGAGACTCAATCAGAGAGTTCTGGGTTCTCATCCTTGAGCTGCTACTTCCTTGAGCAAGTCACTCAATATTTTTGAGCCTCCATGTCCTTACTTGTAAAATAGGGGGATATTCATGATAACGCCTCCTTCATTGGGTCATATGAGGATTAGATAGGACAGTGTTCAAGAAAGCGTTCCTCCTGGAGAAGTACAGGACATGAATGGGTTTCAGTGTGTGGGTGTTGGCTCCTTTAGCCTCCAGGGAGACTGGGCAGGGCCTGGCAGCGCTTCTGCTTATCCCAGATCCTCACACACTTCTTCTCTGTGGGCGCTATGACGTAAGTGAAGGTGGGAACTGCAGGTAAACAAGGCACTTGGCATGGCTCTTCTACCTAGTAAGTCTCAGTAAATGGGGCTGTTCGTTGACACCAATCCTTGTTCATGTGACTACTACAGAGAGGAGTGGGGACAGAGAAGAGAGGTTGGACTCAGGAACATTTCTGAGGTAGAGCTGGCAGGATTTGGTGGCCAGTTGGATGATGGGAGGAGGAGCAAGATCAGAGAGGAGGAGGCCTTGGGATGACTTTGGGATTTAGGATATCATAGACCAGATGGGAGGTCATGCTAGTAATGGAAACTGGAGTGTGTGGGTTTGAGGTATGAATGTGAATTGAGGAAATAGAGACCCATCTGGTAGCCTACTTTGTTCCAGAAGTAGCAAGTTAGGGCAAGAAGGAAGACAAGGTGGCCATGTGGTCAGGGGGAATGCTGGGGTCATGTGAGAGATTTCAGGATGCTGTAGGCTTAGGGAACTGAGGCAGAGGATTTGACAACTCAAAGACAAAAGTGAAAGAGTGCATAGCACTTTGCCCAACTTCACTTCTTTGGAGTGTGACTGCCCCATTGGAGAGTGACTGCCAATAACTGGCAGTTGGGCAGCTGTCCAGGCGTGATTTACAGGAAGGCATTGGTTTCACGAGAGGCGCTGTCTAAATTATTGCACTTCTCCAATTGCCAGGTTTCCCTGCTGACAGTGAACCAGGGGTCAAACAATTCAATCAGGTGCCACCACTTATAAATTGAAAATCAGTGGGGTGCAAAATAGATTACCATCAAAATCTATTCAGGTGCAAAACCAAATTTTAAAACCCCTAACCTCTAAAAATCATTCCTTTCCTGATTCTTCATGATGCCCTGACACTGAGTTTTAATATCCCTCAAATAAGCAAACGTCCATGGAAATGCCTGCAGGGACTAAGGGTGTCAGGGAAGAACTCCTAATCATGCCTTGCTGTTGGAATTGCAAACATGGTAGATTTATGAATTAATACATTGGCAATTCTATTACCTTCTCCAAGGCAGGGCTTCTCAAACTCAAGTGTGTAACAGAATCACCTGGAGGGCTTATTAAGATTGAGATTGCCATCATGACCTCAGTGTTTCTGATTCAGTAGGTCTGGGGTTAGGCCTGGAGAATTGCATTTCTAGCAAATAATCAGAGGATGCTGATGCTGAAGTCCTGGGACCATACCTTGAGAGCCTCTGATGTGAGGTCTCGGAAATTTTTGATAATTTGACTAACGAAGCATGCATTGGTCAATAAAACAAATCAGTAAAAGTCCTATTGGGCCAGTTGTTGACTTGTTGAGTGTGTTCAGGGGCTTTAGTTTTGTCCAAGAAACCCAAGAAGAGACGAGTTCAAGGGGATAGGGCTCAATCTGAGTGCTCTGTGTTCACAGATGAGGTTGGGAGATGGGATAGAGAAAACGGAAGCGGCCCCTCTAACAAGTGACATCATTAAGGTTGAAGCCTGCTCTCTATTGGTCCAGAGGTGCAAACCAATGATGTCTTTTGATGCCTTGACTTGGAAGTTATTTTCTTAAGATTAAACAAACCTGGCTACCACCTTCTTAGCAAGGCATCAGCCTAAACTGTGGCCCTCTCCACCTCTGAATGATGCCAGAGATAATGTTTTTCTATCTAAAATGATTGGTGTCTGATTTTAGTTCTTCCTCTCTTATTCTTTTGGAGTCAAAGTTACTGCCTTGCATAAAGGCTAGGTGTCACCAGGGTCAACATAAAACCAGTCCCTTTCCCCACAGAAAAATGGATCCCGAAAACTGCCCCCAAAATGATTGCTATCTCATTAACATTTGGTTTCCTGTCTGTCTTTGCCAGGAGAAATTGAACGATGCACATACATCAAATACCACTACTCCTCAGCCACCATCCCAAGGAACCTCACTTTCAACATCACGAAGACCATCCGCCAGGATGAGTGGCACGCCCTGCGTAAGTACACCCATTTCCTTCTTTGACTGTGACCTTTGGCTCAGGGGCTTGAATGCCCACCAACAGCTTGGTCTGGACAGATGGATGTGCCCCCTTCAAAGGCCTGTGGACAGTCTCAGCACATAGAAGCAGGTCTTCAAAGTGTTTATTTCTGTGGGTCAGAATTGCCTTGGTTGGTTTTGATTGTATTGTAGATCTGAGAAGTCTGCTTCTAAAATTAAGACAAAAACAAAAACAAACAAACAAGAAAGACCAACTAGTAGTTAGACACTGATCAGTGATCTTTCCTCACTGGTAAGCATTGAAGATTTCACCTACCTGACCGAACCAACTCCTGGGATTTCATTCGAGCCTGTCTCCCAGTTGCTTAGAGTATTATTGTGGCAACCTGTTAATCCCTTGTGTCATCCTTTGCACAGGGTGAGATCGCTGTTGAATTTAAGCTGGGTCACATTGGGAGTTTGCTTTCGGGGTCACCAAAGATCTGGTCCTCTACTTACAAGTTTCTGTTTCCCTCAGAGGGATAGGTTTTGGGACCCTGGTTCTCATGCAATTACTTAGCAAAGATCACAATGTCTGCTTCTATTGTTGGGGAATTTCTTGAGCAGAGATCCTCAGAGACTTAAGTAATGATGGAAGTGTGACTTAATAAGCAAACAGAGCTAGTTGGCTATTTTCACTTTCCTGTTCTATGGGGGATACCTGCTGTGTGTCATGAAAGCTCACCAGCATTGCTGGCACGGCTCTTCAAGTATAAGAACACATCCTTACTCCTTAGTAAGCCTCATGCTGCCCTTGTTTCTTGTCATTTCTTTCCTATTCCAGTTTTTGTCACATGTATCAAGGTTAAGATTCAATTTGCACTGCTATGTGAATGAGGGCCTTTTATTGTTTCTTTATAAAAATGATGGTAAACTTAGAGGAAGGCCAAAAACATCTTTCTTCTCCTTATTGCTGTCTGGTTATCTTTTTGCATGCATGGGCCTCCCAAGGTATGTTTTACTTTTTGGTTTGGCTTAAATCAAACAACTATAGCTTGGAGTGGGAGAAGAGAGAGACAAGTAGCAGTAAACAAAACAGATCAGTCATTCATTGGTTTCAGAAAGAAGCTGTGGCCAGGATGGTTGTTCCTACCTGCCACTGGCCTGAAATGATAGGGCAGGTGTCAGTGAATGGAAAGGCATTACCCAAACCGTTGTCCCTACAAGCTTTGTCATCATGAGAGGCATGGACATGGGCCAGAGAGGTCATGTCCGAAGACTCTTCCTATGTGCTAGCCATTCAGTGAAGCACACCATATGCTATTTAATCCTAATGTGAGTGTTGCCTCAGAGGATCTAATAATTGGGATTATTCATTTCCTTTTTGGAGGTAGACATGTAAGGAGCCAAATTCACAAATACCTGACCATGACTGCTTATTTCTCACATTGCTTTGGTGTAGTGCAGTGGTCGGCAAACTCATTAGTCAACAGAGCGGATAACCACAGCTCTCCAGCCACATGCGGCTGGAGAGCCGCGGTTTGCCGATCACTGGTTTAGTGTAGTCGGTTACAAAAGCTTTAGAGGTTTAGAGGGATGTTCAGGATACATGATAGGCCTTGTTGAATAACCACTTAAATATAATTTAAGTCATAGGGGTCATAATGGAATATAATGGAATATAATGGAAGAAGTTACTGATATGACAGCTTCAATTCAAGTTCACTCAGTTCAACCGAAGCTGCTGTATGTCTTTAGGTACCGTCATACAGTGGATACTGAGGCCCAGCTTTCATCTGGAGGCAAAGGAGTGTGGGGAGAAGAGAGATACATTCACACAGCAAGCCATGATTATGATAGAGTATAATTGATTCAAGCAATGCAGGTAGTTTGTGAAAGCTTTTCAGCCAGGAGGAGGATTATTTTAGTGTCAATTGCAGTTAGTTGTACAGATGCCCTTCAAGGGAAACCTGATAAAACTCTTCTTGCTGTCTATCCAGTAGACTTTTGGAATGCACATGGGTTGCTCATTGCAGTACCACTGAAAATATGTTGCATGGCACCGGCGAAGGAGGGAGGAGGCTGGTGCTAAGGTTCGTGGAATGTTCTTGAGCCTGATGTCTCCAGGGTCCTCATTCCTGAACTGTAGTGCCAGTGGGTTGGCAAAAACCACTGTGTAGCTTATGCTATGAATTGAGGTGCTCACAGATCTATTTTTAACTGATCAAAACCATTTCTGCCACTGATACTTGCAAAGGTTTGGGGCACCGAGTGTTGGTGAAGCGGAGATTGCCGGTTGGTGTGAGACTCGTCTGCCTCTTTCACTGAGTGGCCTAATGGGCTGTTTGTTGAGCAGGCAGAGAACATTTGCCATTCCTGACATTGATGACAGCTATTTTTAGCCAGAGGGCAGGTGAGCATCTGTCTCATCTGAAGTTGTTGCTTCATGTCATTGGCAAAGCTGGCATCCTGGGGACACCCAGTAAATGTCCATTCTAGTAAACATTTATCAAAGGTCAGATAGTGATGGCACATAAACCCCCTTGGAAATAAAGTAGAAACTATCAAAGATTAGCAGACTTCTAAGATCAAGCTCTGGATATTAAAAAAAAAAAAAAAAAAAAACACAAAAAAAACTCTAATTTATTTACTTGAAAGTCCTTTGCTCTTTAATTTTATTAGTGGGATCAAATACATTCATTTGACACTAAATTGGTTATTATTTTTTAAGTTGACCATAGCATCTTACATTCTATAGTTTTTCTCAGTAGATAATTTTTTGCCAAAGTGAAGAATTTTGATTTTGATTTACGAAACAACTGGCAAATATTTTGGACTTTGGTTAAATTTAGGTTCTACATTTTTCATCAAGAATTTGCATGTGATCATCAACCATTGACAGAGAAAACAATTTGCAATAGGAAAATGCACAATTTGGTTTAAAATTTATGCCAGTGGCTTTGGAACAGTCAGCCCCACCCATGTGAGGCATAACTATTTGGCTGTGAGTTCATTCACCTTATGGTCAGGTGATCAGCTTGTGAAAGACTTCAAATCCAAGTGCAAAGAGATAATAACCACCTTAGGTCATAAAGGCCAGGACACCACGTGCGCCTTTGAGAGTGTGTGCGTGTGTGTGTGCATGTGTGTGGGGTAGTCTCCATGTATGAGGTCTGAATGCTGAGTTGTCTGAGTGACGTGGTGACAAGCCTCTAGCTTTGGATTGGATGGTGATTGCTGGTGACATATTATGTGTGCCGGTACTGGTTTGTCCTTCCACCCTGGCCCGAGCTCCCTGAGAAAAGACAGAATATCTTCTGGCCTCAGTCCACCCTGGCCTGGCTGCTGCCCAGGGCAGCCCACCTGCCTTCCTGCTGCCTCGGTGACCTGAGCATTTGTCCAGCCTCTGTGCACTCCTGACCCAGATCCTCCCTCCACCTCCGAGCTGGAGCAGGGCAGGCGAGGGGTCACCAGGCCAGTGAGGACAGGATGGTGGCTGCTGGGGATGAGCTTGTCTAATGCCACTCTCTGGGGGGGTTTTCTGGCTCAGTGTTTTGAGTATGACAGAATCCGATTAGCGGTGGTCAAGGGGAAACAGGCTGGCATCTTATGGTGCTGTTTCCTCCCGTAAACTTTTCATTGTGAGTTTGCAGGGCTTGTTTGGAGAATTCTGTGTCCTGTGCCACCCCCAAGAGGTCATCCGAGTGGCTCGAGCTTTGCTCTCCCTATCACGGGTGTCCCTTTGACATAACCTTTCAGCACCGCCAGGGGCCAGGGCACTGCCCAGTGGCAGGACAAGGGGAGAGGCTGGGAGTGACCAGGACTGAGCAGCCAGGAGTGGGAGGCAGCAGGGCCTGGGAAGCTGCCACTGAGCGGTGAGTGTGTCTGAAGGAGGGGCTGGCGTGGGTGGAGCTGGGCCTGGGGATACACCAAGAGACAGGAAGGCTGGCCTGGGTGCCCAATGGAAGGTGTGAGAAGGGTGGCCCTTTCTCACCCCAGATCTCCCAATCTACTTGGCAGGGACTTTGGGTAGCTGCCATGTGGAGGTTCCTTGGGTCAGAGCCCTGAGACTGTGCTGTGAGCTCAGGTTTTCTCATTCTGCTCGGCGTCTTCAAGATGGAGGTTTCAGCTCACAGTTGATTGCCCCTGGCAGAGGGAATCAGGAGCTGGGACTCCACACCCCTGCAATCAGATCTTCTTATCTTTCAATAGGCTGAGAGTCAGGAAAGCTAGAGGTTTTTTGTTTGTTTGTTTGTTTTTTTAAGTCTTCTTATGTCAAGGCTGAGATTTCAGCTAATTATATCGGATGGTCACAGGGCTCATTTCCAGCTGGACCCTGGAGGGAGAAAGAGAAATGATCCCCCTCCCCCCCTATTTCCCACCCCATCTTTCTTGAGGGCATTCACACCACCCTAGTAGACACAGACACACACTCACGTAGTGGCGCTGGAAAGCTGAGTCAGGATAAATAAGACTAGAGGTTGAAGGGGGAGGGAGAAGACAAGGTAAGGGGCGGTGGGGAGAGAGAGGGAAGGAGATAGACAGACAGATGGAGGTGGAGACTGAGACTTTGGGGAGGAACAAGGACATTTCATGGACATGTGGCTGAGAGGGAGAAGAAATCAAAATCCAGACTGTCTTGCCTGATGCAGACATGTGGCTCTCTTTCCCTGAATCTTGTGACCACTCACAGTGGGGGCCTGTTGGTTAGCTCAGTCTTGGGGACCAGCTGCATGGTGAGAAGCTCAGCCTGTCCAGCTCTCTGGTATGTATTTTGGTGGTCAAGTCCTACCTAGTCTTTCCTCATCTGCTTTTTTCACGGCCTCTTCCACAACCCCCTCTTTCCAGAATTAGCATATCCTGCGCCAAACCCTAGTCTCCTGTAACCATCTGTGACCCCATCCAGCCACCCCAGGTACTGCCCACCTCAGCGCCCTGTGCTGCTTCTTGCCTCTCCCCTCTGGCACTGGCCTTCTCGCCTTAGACTTAAGTGTGCTCTTTGCCCAATGGCACTAGTCC